TAGGACCTAAATACATAGCAGATATGTTCACTGAATATAAACCTAACAGACCACTCAGATCATTAGGATCAAGTCAGTTAGAAATACCAAGGGTTCACACAAAACAAGGGGAGTCCGCTTTTAGCTATTATGCCGCCAGCAGTTGGAACCAGCTTCCAGAAGAGATCAGATGTGCTAAATCAGTAGCCATATTTAAATCTAGACTCAAAACTCATCTGTTTAGCTGTGCATTTATTGAATGAGCACTGAACTACGTCCAAACTGATTGCACTGTATTTTATGTATAATCATTTTCTGTTTTTAACTGTTTTAAATTCATTTTAAATCAATTTCTAAATAATTTTAAAAGTTTTTAAGTTCCCCGTTTTATTGTTGTGATTTTTTTACTTCCTTTTATGTAAAGCACTTTGAATTACCATTGTGTATGAAATGTGCTATATAAATAAACTTGCCTTGCCTTGCCTTGCCTATTCTTTTAAAAAAAAAAAAGCTTGCTCTATTCTTTTTTTATTTATTATATAATTTAAAAAATGCTTGCTACGTGTACTGCGTTAAGCCAACTGAGACCTGTTATAGCACTTGCATATCTTTGCTCTCTTGTTGATTTTGATTTGTAAGTTGCTTTGGATAAAGGCATCTGCTAAATGACTAAATATAAATGTTCATTAGATTCATTAGGATTCCCTGGGAATCAAACCCATGACTTTGCTGTTACTAGCATCAAACTCTACTTTTTGGAGTCTGAAACATTAAAGTGACAGACATGCAAAAAAATAAGAAATCAGGAAGGGGGCCAACACTTTTTCACACCACTGTATACTGCATGTAATAAACGCTCAGAATATTGACTTGCCTAATAATTCTTTGAGAAAATGTAATTACCAGTGCATAGGCCAAATTACTAAACCCCTGTAGTAGTCGACCACTATATATCATTCATATATATATATATATATATATATATTTTTTTTTTCTCCATTCATCATTGCAATAATTTCTATGACAGTGTCGTTCACTAGCAGTTCATTTTGACAGGGCCATCCATCAGATGTTTTTTTATGATCCTCAGCTGAATCACTTGTTTAACCAGAAGCTGAATATGACGTCTGTGTTCAACATGTTTTCTGACCAGCACATGAAGGCAGGGATGATACGTTAAGTTCAGTCCCTGCAGTGTAACCTGAGTTAAGTGTACTATAAGACACTAATCTGGATAAAAGTATAAATCACCATACTAATGTAAATTCCAGTAGCTCGTGCTTTAGACTCTTTCACCCTGGGCCTAAATGAACACTTTCAACATGCACTGTACGGCCTGAACGGAAGTGTGGACAGAAGTTCATCTGCATTCAGAAGCAACAACAAAAAAAGACTGCAGCAACTGATTATCATTTCAGTTTATTTTTATATATTGCAATAAAGATGTACAAAGCATTGATACCCTTAACCATTCAAATGTTAGAAAAAAGCATACGTGTGACAAATAACAGTAGAGTATATCAAAACATTACTGTTCCAGCACAATCAGTCAGTCAACCAGATACACCCTCACTGTTCTGCAGGAAACTCAATCCACTGGTCAACAGAGCGCTCTTAAAAGGCGTATAAAAGATAGAAATGTGAACAAACACTGAAAAATGAGCCCAAAGATTAGTTTGAATTTGCAGACTAAACCAAACAACTAAAAAAGAACAAGAAAAAAAAAATCACATAAAACTACAGTAAGAAAACCCCCTTGAAATAAATATATTTCTCACCATATTAATTTGCAATTATTATTCCACTCCTTTGATTAATCTGGTTAGGCTAAAAGATTTTTACAAGTTGTTTTCACATGCAGAAATAAGCTAAGGAGAGAACATGAAACAGACTTTGGCAACACATTCTGCAGGATGAGAAACGGCATGACAAAAAAAGACTTCATCTTCTACAGAAACACCAGCGGAAGCTTTGAGAGGCTCCTCAGCGTGTGGAAACCTACAGCTGCATCAGTGAGAAACACCTTATATGCTTGTCACACTCTCCCATTTTCTATCTCTAAATATAATATACAAGTATCTTAATAATTCAAGATAACAGGCAATCGTTGAATTGGTGATTTAGTCATTGTCGGGTGAACGGGTGCTGTACAGCCACACCAACGTACAAACACACAACGGATTTTCAACCGGTAAGATTGTACCGTCAGCTTTACTAACGTCAGCCACTTCAAATCAAAGCATATGCGGCGCACACACATTTACATACTTTTAAATACTAGTTATATTGAGAACTATAAATATGAATATATTCATTCTAACTGTCACATGGAGTATTTCTCAGGTACACAGACGGCAGGGCCGTGCAATAGCACAACACTGAGCCTGTGAACAAAACTAATGTCAAACGTGTGAGGAAACCGAAGAGCTGCAGCTAATGTGATGGACATGTGGCTAACTGACCAACACTCCAGCTATAGTTTGAAACGAAGGCATGATGGGCCATACGACAAACATCTGCTCAAACATCCCAGCATTCAATCACAAGAATCAACCGGACGAGCGAACGACATTCAGGAACAGAACAGAGCGAAATCTGCATCAGTTTCCTTGACGGCTCTCCTCACATCTGAAGAAAAACTGACGGAGTCTCCGACAGTAAAGACGAACCCGGCACTCGATCCTGAGTTTAGATACACGTGTCACACGCAGTCCATCTGCATAGAGGAACAAATCAGTTTCATTCAACACTGAATAAATTCTTACAGCTTCCAATGACACATTAACACATCTTGGGATTTCCAAGTAAGGCCTTTAACCACAGAAACGCACGGACCAATGAAAGCAGAACAGAAGGAAGGAAGAGAAGACCCAGCTTCAGGTGGGGACAGTAACAGCCCAACCTTGAAGCGTAACAGGAACAGTGGTGTTCAAAAGCAAACACCAGCTGCAAGTGAGCAGTTCTGCCAAGGTACAAAAGGCACCATTCCAGACTGCTTGATGAAACTAACAGGGTGTGAAGATGGGAGAGCTTTCTGGTCAAGACTGCATTCTGCTTCAGGCATCCGTTCATCTAGCATCTCTCTCTCTATTTCTGTCTGCATTCACCTAGTCATTCAACTAGCCAGTATGGCTTGAAGACCGTAAAAACAACAATCATCCGCTCATCTGTTAAGGCAAAGGTCTGGTCTGTAGCAGGATCTGTGATTGGAGGGCTTTGCTCTTATTTGGTTGATTGTTAGTTTGAAAGGATCTGACGGCTCTGCTTTCTTCAGACAGACGGCACTCATCAGCCTCTCTTCATCACACCAAAAACCATTCAACTGCACACTAGGGAAAACTAATATAGTTCTGGTAGAATTCAGACTTTTTTACATTAGACTACTTGAAAGATGAATGTAATCACCCTGTAGTTCAGGTCGATCGTTGTAACAAGTACATGGAGGGGTGCGGCGCTAAAACTCCACAACTCTTTCAATGCTTCAAGGAAGACGTAAAACTCTGAAGAAGAAAGCAACCAAAAAATCTGTCTACAAAAAAGTGAAAACGTGGCACAGTGGAAACCTCAGTTAAAACTTGATCAAATCAAGGAAGATTTACATTTAAAACCCAATAAAAACAAGCAGCCTACATCTATTCCGTTATAAATCACCAGTCAGGGAAAAGTTTAAGAATTTAATCTGATTGCACAGGAAGGCACATCCACAAGGCTATAAAGTGTAGCAAAAAATCGTGTGTTTTCTTCAAAGTGAGAAAATAAGAAAGGTGATTATTGCTTCATCAAGAGCAAACTAAAAAGAGAGGAAGAAAAAAAAAAAATCCACAACTCTTATAAATCACCAGTCAGGGAAAAGTTTAAGAATTTAATCTGATTGCACAGGAAGGCACATCCACAAGGCTATAAAGTGTAGCAAAGAATCGTGTGTTTTCTTCAAAGTGAGAAAATAAGAAAAGTGATTATTGCTTCATCAAGAGCAAACTAAAAAGAGAGGAAGAAAAAAAAAAATCCACAACTCAAAGTTGTGACAGTCATAATAACGATAACAGTGATAACAACAATCAGTGTAACAACGTGTGCTCGGAAACCTGTGAGCTCAAGACAATATAAACCGTCAAGCGTTGATCTTCGCTGTTGAGCTGCAGCGTGGAAGGAGTCCGTTTGTTTCAGCTCTGTCGAGAAACGTCTATCAGCATCATCATCATCATCATCAGTCAGAGGTGCTGTGCTTGAGTGGGCAGATGCGTCTGTGAGCGCTCTACGAGTAGAAGGTGAGGACGCTCTGATGGTTCCCGCGCACTAAGAGGATGGGTGGCAGGTCTTTGGATAGTGTGTCCAGCCAGGCCATGTAAAGAGCGCTGGAGACGGCTCCTTTCCTGGCCAGCGGCATGCTCCTGTTACACCACACACACAGACACACACAGACACACTATTAGTGCTGGCTGGAAACATGACCACTTCAGCTAACTAGCCTCTCTCAAATAACCATTCACTCTGCTGTGGTATTTACAGCTCTGTCTTTGACAATGACAGCAAACACGGCACTGCAGCATTGCAGATGTGCTCCAGAAGTGCTGATATAACAGCCCAACAACACTAAGACTTCTGGTTGTTTGCGGATGTGTGTTTGTTCTTTCAGTCAGTAGGTGGCAGCATGTGACCGTCTTTACGAGTCACTGAAACGCTGGTGTTTGTAACTTACATGACGATGAGGTTGGCTGTGCGCGAGTGCTCCTTCAACAGCTCGTTCAGTCGGATCTGACGGTTACTCTGAGGAAACAAACAAATCAATTAGCAGGAAGACTGAAGTTGCTGTTATCTGTTAGCAGCTGAGAAAAACTCTGCAGACAAGCATTTGGAAACAGGAAACGGAGCATCTAAATACCATCATTTTACTCTACTGAGTCATGAGCATTTTAGCTAGACTTGTTCTTGGACATAACTGTCTAAAAATGCCATTCTTTCTGCTAATAGATCAGGACTGATTACTTTTGCCTCTAACACTACGTCAGTAAGACTTCTGCGTGCAGGACCAGTGCTGCTCTAGTTCTGTTGGATACGCTCAATCACTGCTCTTCCTGAGAGGTAAAAACAATAGGTTAGGACACATGCTAACTCAACATGCGTGGTTCTGTACCCATCTTTAAAACGTAGAGATTTGAAGGTCTCATCTTCTATCATTTGCAGCATCTGTCACTTGTGGGGTGCCACAGGGCTTAATTTTGGGCCCTTTTTGTCCTCTCTCGACAAAAAGCCAACATCATGCTCTTTTCTAAAACATTACTCAAAAAAAAGTGAGGTCTTTGAATCCTATATAAATGGGAGCCAGTGCATTTCATTGGCTCGTGTTTTTTAAATTCAGTATCATTAAAATTGAGTTAAATTAAAAAGTCTTACAAAATAACTTTATATTATTTAATAAAATAATAAATAATTAATACAAAGCATTTTCGGTTTCAGTTCTCAGCCAAGTGCATCCAGAATTTTCATTTCATTTGTTAGTTACTCTTGTCTATCCTTCTGTTAATAAAACCCCTTTTATTACACTCGTGTCTTCCTTGTGTTGATAATACAGTAAGAGGCTCTAAGTTAACGATATCTCTCAAATCCTTCAGATCGGTCAGACTACAACTTCTATCATTTATGTCATTCATATGTATTCATATAATGTTTCTCACTGATCTATGATTGTTCAGACCAGGGAATGATTCAAATCCCATACAGCGTAGGACGCCGGTGGTGTGAGCTCCTGTACTCCTGTGCTGTGTAACACGCTGTGCTTTGTGTGGCACTACATTTCTCAGCATCAGCTCTGATCGATCATCTGTAAATGTGACAGGAGGTGTGTGTTGAGACCTTGGCTTTGTAGAGCTCCAGCTCATTGTCTGTGATTCTCCAGGGCTCTTCGCTCTTCAGCTTCTCAGCAGCTTCCTGCTCCATGTCATCTTCTCTCAGCTTATATGGCTCGATCATCTGAGCAAACTCGGTCAAACTGAATGACAAACACAAGAGGTCAGTGCTGAGAAACCTGAAGTGGAACTTTCCCTCTGACATGTCCAATCCAAATCACAAAGCCATTTCAGTAACGGTTTTTATAAGTTCCTCTGACGTCAAACACAAGATCGACAGTTCTGAAATCAGGTCTGTTAAAGTGTGATTGGTGACAGATAGGTTTTTCTATGTAACTGCCAGAACACGGCATTTTGTCTGTGCACATAAGCGTCTTCGTCCAGCCAAGGTTTAAACTAAACTCTTGAGTGTATTCAGATCTTCCATGGACCAATTCAGAATCATCACTGACTGCTGAATGCTAATCAATTAACAAAAAGACCCCAAATGCAAAACTAGCCCTCAAATATCTTACACATTCCACACAAATCCCCAAACAATTAACAGTGAAGAATGTTGAGGAAAGAGCTTATGTAAGAGATGAATGATGTTCATACCCCTCTGACTTGGGCTTTGTGTTGATGTCGCCCAGGACCGTGATGTCAGAGAAATCGATCCTGAACTTGCTGAGCAATGTGGCCATGCTAAGGACACAACAAAGCCACATTACATATTTAACAGGCAATAATAAATAATGTATGCAATATTTGCCACTGTATCCTCGCACTGAACAATTAAGTTTCCCAACGCAGCAGCTGAGACAGTTCCTGGAATGCTCCTGAGATCCAGCAGCTCCACGCGTGATCATGACTGCAGTGATGCAGATTCAACAGATCCATGAAAATGAACCTCACGGACATGTTCAGCTGCACATGTGTAAAGACCTCTCACGGTTTCTATGAAGACCTCGCTGCTGGAACACGTCTAATTATAGCTAACAAAGGCTCTGGCAGCAGCTGCAGAGGACAATGGGAAACATTTGTCTCTCTCTCACACACACACACACACACACAATACCTCCACGTGCATTCAGAGAGAGAGCACTTTATGTGAAAAGGAAGCGTGGCATACTGATATGATCAACAGTCCAGCTCATCAACACTACAGGACTGTGAGATGAGGGAATCTAAACAGTTTTGGGAAAGCATATTATTTTTTCCTTGAGTTATGATTCTGATATAAAGTGTCATTACAGCATGATTTCATAGGATTACAGCTATAGCACGTACGCTCTGCGGTCATGGTCGATCCTGTTGATTTTTCCACCGATGAAGACGCGGATCTTACAGTCCTTCCATTTCTTCTTGTTGGCGATCAGATAGGGGATTAGTAGAGTCAGACCTGATACAGACAAAATACAAACAAGAATCAGCCTGTTCCAGCAGGAGAGGATGCATTAGAGTTGCTTTAGTACAAATTACACACATACTGTACCAGAATCTATTATTGTGCAAGTTCCTGAAGGAAACGCTATTGTACTGCTGCCTTAAACACTGACAGCTGTGACGCAAGCTCAGATTTGATGCTGCAGAGCCACTTCACTGCTGGCATGACGAGCACTCGTCTGTGTGAGAACTAACACAACGTGACACTGTCTTGACAGCATTAAAGCAGCTACAGCATAAAAGGGGCAATAGCAAAGGAAGCCAGGACCTCATACAGGTCATCGAGAATTGCCTTGTAAATCAGGAAGCTCTGAGCAAGCTGCACAGCTGCTCTCCTCACCTTCAGCACACTGGTGTTTGTGTGCAGAACCGCCTCTAACCTCCACACCAATCTACAGCCCGTCCAGACGCACCAGTGAGTGCCACCTCACTTACTTCAGTCACTAACACAGTATTCAGATGCATTTAATACGTTAGCTAGTGTAAATGTACCCTGCTGATGAAAAGCGTGTTTAAAATAAACTGAAAAAACTGTACCATAAGGACTCTCAGTGGCCCAGTGCCAATGTGGAAAACAGACGGGACAGTTACAGAACTGCCACTTGGCAAAAGGTAACCATTTGCACGTTTTTTAAGTCTTTCCAGATCAAATGTTCAAGTGATTGTAAAGCGTTGGAAGAAAACTCGATTTAGCGCTCGTATGCTGTCTGACAGGTTTCATGTGCTCTCAGAGAGAGAGAGATATGAGGACTGAAAAAATAAAAATAAAAAAATAACTAAAAAGTCCTTTTCACAGATTATTACAATCAAATGGCCAAATACACACAAACGTGTCAAACAGTCTGTTTTGCTAAATTGTCATGTAAACACAGCCGGTTATGTCTTAAATGGCTGTAACCGGTTGAGAACAATCACATGCGTGCACTCGATTTTAAAGTGACAGCAGCCTGCTGCTGTACTAGTACTGAGAAAATTGAAATTTAATTGCCATGTAAATGAAACAAGACTGTGATATACATGTATCATTATCATGACATGAAAAGACACCTATCTTGAAGTACCATTTTAGTCACACCTAAGAGCTTGTGACCCAGGTGTAGTTTTCTCTGACCTGACTGGATGCTGCTTTAGTAAAACGGTTCCTAACCTTCCAGAAAAAAGGCTGAACCCATTAGCCAGGTTAAGTTCACTAGTTTTTGGAAGCATAAGTTGAGGTTACACACAAAAGATCACACATAATCTAACGTGCGAGTACACTTACCGTGTTCACACTGAGCCCTTGTTACATTTGTTTTTGCATCACATTTCGGAGAATAGAACAAATTGTTTCCAAAATAACAAAATCGAATCCTGGCCAATGTTCAGATTTCACGGTGCATCGTAACGGTACGTTCTCCACTCACCTCCGTCATCAAAGAGCCACCACACGTCGATGGTGCCCTTCCCCTGTTTCTGCTGGAACTGCTGACTGGCGTCCAACAGCCGCTGATCGGCCACATTCAGGGGAAGCGTCGGGCTCCTCTTATCTGAAACACAAACACACGCTCAGACTCCAGATCAAGAGCTGAGAGCCATGTATCTAATGGATCGGACAAACAGAAGAAAGGAAAGAGACTGAAGAAAGTCGTCAGCAGAAAGAGAAGCAGTTCTGCAGGAAGACACCGAGCATTAGATCACAGACAGGAAGTGACATCGTTGGAGCTGAAACACACGCTAGCACATGTAGAGATGAAGGTCAGAGGTCAAACCAGCAGAAACACTCATGAAAGCAGCGCATCCTAAAACGTCACCAAGAGAAAGTGCATGCAGGTCAGAGAGAGCGTAAGCAAAGAATGAGAATCAGAGAAATGTCCTGCCTTTCTTCAACAGCGGCTGAGTGTGGGCTTTGCCATCCTCATCCTCATCTGGATAATGTTTGGAAAAAACACGAGAGGGTTAAAGTCTGCTAATGCTGCAATGGGAAACATGTGCGTCAGTCAAACACAAAGAGAGGCTTGTTCAGCTGCAGTTGACCACACTTTCATCCACACACACACACACACACACACACACACACACACACAAACCAGGTGACAGGCCAACCTGTTCGCTGTAATGTAAAGCCTGTAGCACGAAGCCGTTTCGGTTTTAACCCAGGCAAGTTCGCGTTTCGTTTGAGCAAACTCTGAGTTGTCAGGCTCAAGAAGGTAGGTTGGTTTCGAGTGTGTTTCGTCGCCATGGTAACTCCCGAGCAGGTTTTATTCCGAGTTAGAGTTCGCAAACCAAAGCTGGACCAATCAGTTGTGAGCAAAGTGACATATCGGATGCACATAAGCCACTCCCCCAAATCTCTCGCTTCAAATTAAAGCAATTTACACTGAAAGAATTTTAGAGACAACATTGCTTGCCTTTTGCTGCTAATGATTTATTAAATTCATATTATATGAATTATAATTACTTATAAGTCATATAATATATTCAAATAATTATTATATGAACTGGCAATTTAGGGATGCACGATATTATCGAAACGTTATCGAAATCGGCTGATAATGGCTTAAAATGCAAATATCGGCATCGGCCCGATATGAAAAATTATGCCGATATACCTTGCAGATAAGACGAGTAACTCGCATGTGCTCAGGGTGTGATAGAGATAAGATCACGTCAGCAGTGTGGCTCATTCTTGAAGCAAACTTTTTCCTGAATGACGATTAGATTCACTGTTTAGAGCATTTAATCTGAGAATGCGAGTACAGAATGAGGCATCCGGTGTGCGATAGAGTCAACAGTTACTAGCGCGAGCAGCAGCAGAGGGTCCTAATGCCCGGCCGGTGAGGCCTTTTATTTACTTAGGGGGCGCTGTTGGCCTACTTGTAATAAAATGAAAGTAAACTACACAAATAACATTAAGATGCGTTTCTGATTAAATAAAGCAGTAATTGATGTCATAAAAACACGAGTATGGTTTGATTTAAAGGTCAGAAGGTATAGCTTGCATGAATAAAACACTTGTAAATTAAATAATTTATATATATACAGATTTATTCATTAATGTGTAATATGTTTTTTTTTTTCAAATAGATTATGAAGACTTAAACTTAAAGAGCTCTAAAATATTTTTTTAGAATTTGTACAACTCTTGCTTTAGACCATCTACAAATGTTAGATATTCAAATAAAATGTTAAGGATTTATTTATAGTTATTTTCAAAGCTTTCAATTTACTCTCATTATAAAAGAACTTCACTGTTTATTTAATTCTCAAAAGTAAGTTTTTGTTAAAAACTAACCAAAATGAAAAATTATTTGTTTATAATCTCTGTACAGGAGAGACTTGGTGTTGTTCCTAGGGCTGCCCACTAATAGTCGACTAACCTTTAGTCGACAAGAAGAGGCTTGGTCGACCAAAATTGAATTAGTCGCTTAGTTGGAAACAAAAAGTGCACGGACAGATCGTTAACGGCTGGTCTTTGTGGTAATACTGTACATCCAAACGCTCGCCAATCATTCATCGACCTCAAATATGGCTTATCATCTGAAATATGTAAGTAGTAGTAACTTTACATGGCCGCTCAATCTAATGTTATCCTAGAAAAATGTGCGCTATTCAAGTGTCTGAACAGTAGCGCGCTCACAGCATGACAGATGGAGGCGCCGGTGCGCTCACTTGTTCTTAAAATACTCCGTCATTTTGGTCATACAGATAAGAGTAATATATCTTTTGAATCTGTAAAGCCTGTATGTTTATTTGTGTGCACTCACTATAACAACAAAACATTGCGCTTTTGTAAAATAATGAAAGCAAACAGGATGCGCTTTCTGCCGTCTCGGTCTCTGTGAACTTGAGCGCGAAACTCTGTGTATACTTGCCTTACAGACATGAAAAATATATCTATAGAGAGTGAAATGCCTACTTTCAAATGAAACAATTCACATCTGAAAAAACAAATAGCCTATTCTCAGATGATGTAATCCGTATGAAACTTGCATGCAGGCGCATCCACTACTGTGGAGTCATTGTCGCCGAATTAATCTCTTAAGCCGAAAACAAAGAAAACACTAGTTTATCAATAGAATATTAAAATGTTAATGCAGTTTAAACATACTGTTTTTCCCTGACACAGTAATCATCATTACTTCTGCCGGTGTGCTGTGGCAAGCTTTATGCATGCGCTTGATAATTTAAATGGTTTATTAATAAACGTGCAATTAGGCGACTAATGCTTAAAATGAATGACTACTAGTCGACCAGAAAAATCTTTAGTCGAGGGCAGCCCTAGTTGTTTACAAACAAAAGGAAATATATCGGTATCGGCATCAGCTATCGGCCAAAATGAGTTGAAAAATATCGGCTAACTTTGGATATCGGAATACTCAATATTTTGGATATTGGAAAAAAAGCAATATCATGTATCCCTATGGCAATTAATATTAAACTTTGCATTTAAATTAATTTAAACATATACATAACCTATAAATAAGTTTGAATAAATAAAGCTTTTAAAATGACTAAACGTATGTATTTTCTTTTGAGCTCTTTGTGAAACTATAGAAATTATTAAATTTAGTGGACTCATGTGCATATTGTCTTTCTGCTGCCCTCTCAAACTTTGTTTATTCCTGCCTTGTAAATGCATTCATTATATTTTTAATAACAACATTTCTAAATATTAAGCAGAGAAGTGAATTGCAGCGACTCTCGCGAGCTGACACTCTCCATGTTCCCTGTGATTGGCTGTTTGCTGTATGTGTCACACTTCCCGAGCTTTGTGAGCCCGCTGAACCTGATCTAAACCAGGTTGGTTTAAACAGAGTTTGTTCAGTTAGCTTCATGCAACAGGCCACTGAGCAGCTTTTGTGAGTCTGTGGTCACTTATGAGTGAAGGAGTGCTCACAAACCCTCACTGATGGGCACTTCACAGTGGACTATCACCCAAAAGTCCACGCGGCATTACGTCAAAGCACAGACTTCAGGCAGGAGCAGTGGAAACAGAGCTGTTGTCCGTGAGTCACAGGCCTCAGACTCCGACACATCAGAACTGATGGATGGTGTTGAAATCTCACTCGGATTGATTGTTTATAATTTAGTGCCATGTAGGTTACCACCAATATTTCAAAGCGAGAATCAAGTGAAAAAGTAAATAAGTGTACTATATTAAACCATAGACAAAAGTAGATAAGACTTTTATAAACGGTTTTTAAAGTTTGTCTTTAATAAAAAAAAAAAAATTAAATTAAAAATCTGGTCTCACTTCATTAAAAATATTTTCATAAGAATCATCTGAAGAGTAAAGAGTCCTAAACTTTATTCAGATTGTCAGTTCAAATCAGATTTTATGTACATATACGATTGGAATCTGATCATATTTACCAAGGGTGCATGGCAAAAAATAAATAAAATAAAAATCACATGACATTTTTACAAATTTGTACAATCTACATTCATATTCACAAACGTGAACACATCAGACATTGTTTGTAAACATGCTGAATGTCTTTGTAAATAAAGGTTGTGTTGCGAAGAGCGAGTCGAGCAGAAAATGACAAAACTGCTGGTCTCCACATGAGACCCGGCAGAGAGACATTCCAGCTTCCTGTCTCATAAAATCCAGCGCAAAAGCAGCATGCCACGCTGTAAGACAACTTCTGTTTTGCAAACCATGTTGCGGTTATTGCTGTTTTTTGGCACAGTCACACTAACACAACATCACTGCCGTAGAAACCAATGCAAATATTCGTAAAATTAATCAGATCTGAACAGATACGATACAGTGTGGACAGTCGATCAATTAGATCAGATTCCAATCAGCTACACAGATTTGGGCTGAAAGTGTGAACATAGACATCACAGTCCATCAAAATAGCTTCAGAGATAATGGGTTTGTTTCCACAGATCTGATTTGGTGAAGTTTATTTGTGCTATACTGATCACATTCAGCTTCTTTAGCTGCAGTGTCTGCTCGCTCATTTCCTGGAATTCCACGATGCCCTGATACCCAACAAAAAGCATCTTAAAAATCTGTGCCTCCAAGGACCGCAGTCCATTTATAACCTCCATAAAGGTGTTCATATTTGGAGGATGCCAGAGTTTGAAGCTGGGCAATTTTTCCGATTTTATCGATTCGTTCGAATTTAATGTTTTGCCACGATTTTATTTTTTATGAATTGAGGAATCACGAAATATTACCAAAAGTTAGAATTAGACACTTTGATAATATGCCAATGTTAACAGTAAAGAGAAAAGAATGATTCACCCGCATGTCTGCGCGCGTGATGAACCACTCTCGAGATGAATAGCGCAGTCCGGAACGCTGTTGTTGAGCCATGTTTCCGTGAACACAAAAACACAACAGTCTCTTACAGAAGGACCAGAATGAGAATATATCACTACGTGCCCGTCACACAGAATGTGCTTTTGTGTTGACAGAGATGCGTCGCAGGCAGTGGAATAGGAAAAAAAGCAGGAAGACGGGAGTTGAACTTCTTTTAACTTGAGCGCCGTGCTTTTAGAAAGCCGTTTAATGCATGAGATGCTGCAAGAGACGCAACAGTCAAACGCGTCCATGTTCACAGAAAAAACAATGGAAAGCAGCACAATCAAATAAAAAGCTGTTCAGAACTACTACTGTATGTCTGATATTTCATATTTGCATTATAGTGACAGACTGAAAGCTGCTGTTCATTGTTTTTACAGAACATTTATAGTTAATAACAGTCTACTGGTGTTAGTGACTTTTTAAAGCATTTTCCTTGTATTATTTCTGAACATATAATATGCATAAGACAAGTTTGTACAAGATGTAGTTGTAGTTCATGCATCTTTTTTGCAAATATATTTAACAAACGATTTGTTTAATTTTAACTAGAGGATTAATAAAGAAAAAGTTACTTAAAAATCGAGAATCGGTCAAACGTTCTGAAAAAAAAAAATATATATATAGAGATTTTTGTTTTTGTTTTTGCCATATCGCCCAGCCCAATGCTTCTATGGTATGGCAAGTATGGTAGGGAATCTATATTCCACTTTTCTGCTGTTTGAACACAAAGGCAGCGGAGACATGATCTTCAGATTTCAATCTGGATCTGTATATACTGGGCTGTATGACAAAGCTTTCTTGAATGTTTAAAAGTTGCTGATTATGTTATCAATCGTAGGTTTTCCATTGCAACTTGGATATTTTTCTGCCATTTTGAACTTTTCTGCTGTGTGTTCTATTTGCACTAAATCAAGCATGCATTGAGAAAACAAATGTTGTCAAAGTTGTCCTAGACAACTGTGTAAAGTTGTGCATATCATGTAGTGAAACTCGAGAAGAGGTGTTTGGGAATTTGGAAAATACAAGCCAATGAACTCTTCAGGTGTGGCCTAGATAGGACAACGTACATATGGACACCTGGTGAAGCAGGCCAATGCAATGATTCACTTCTCTGGGTGAGTGCATTCACTAGAAACCTCATAATGGAGATGATCGAGAAAGCTGTACATCCACGTGTCCTTTCAAATTTGGCAGTTCTGCTCATTTTCTCCAGTTTTCTCACATGACTGACCCCTGCTGATCGCCGCTTGTGGCTATATTTGTTTTTTATTATGGTTATATTCTCAGGCTTCAGAGAGTCCTCCAGAGTCAGATGGAGCTGAGAGGTCGATACTGCAGACCTCGGAGTAATTTATCATAGACAGACATCAACACTCGCTGTGTTCCCAGCCTGGTTCTTCAGAGAACATGCTTTGCTTGTTTTGTGTTGGGAAGACATTTCAGAAAACACATGGATAGGGTTGGGTACCGAACTCGGTACTTTTAGGGGTACCGACCGAATTGCGTTGGTACTACCGAGTACCGATTCACGTTAAATCAATCGGTGCCAAATTTCGGTACCTGAAATCGCATCTGGGTGCATCCGCTACAGAGAGAAACAGAGACCCTGTGACATGAGGTCACCCCTGCAACTCATTCAAACAACACACAGGGCAAGACGAAATGTTTTGAAGTGTGGTTACATTTCTAGGGCCATATGGTTTCTGCGAAAACGCGGACGGGATCGCGGAGTCCATTAATAAAAAACGTAATTTACTCTATAGTGCGGAATGCCACGGAATTCGTCAATTTTGGACGAATAAATCAAAAGTAGCCACTGCCACTTAATTCGAATCGTGATATGAACTAGTGTCTGTGAATATCAAAATGCAAAAAGACGGTTTAAATGTGAATCCTGCATGTTCTGCTTGCCTCTGTATGTATGAATGGCGGAAACGCGGTTTTGTTTACCACACAAATACTGAAGCACGCATGACGCTCGCGGTGATTTTCGGCCTCTGCGTCTCACTATATGACGGCATGAACACAAATTTAATCTCCAGAGCTGCTGTGAGAGTCACTTCGCGAGAATTTTACCGTTTCATTTGAGAAAACTAGCATCATCATACTCGACATACACACAGAAACTTCATGGCAACCTGTCAAAATAAAAGTACGGTTTAACATGTAACAGAAATATATTACTCTTGTATTACTTTTGTAAAGTATAATGTACATCTTTAAATATTCCATTTTCTATCAAATTTAAATAAAACAATTAAATGATAAAAATAAATATTACAACTAGATTTATCACTTAATTGTAGAAAAATAATACAATTATTAGCCTATTAAAAATTGTTTTAAGGAATATTCACACAATTTTTCTTCCATGTATTAATTTCAACAGTAAACCTCAGTTAGTTTGCCAAAACATAAAAGGGTTTAATTTTCATTTGATTTAAAATAAATGTTTAATGCCTTCATTTGATTTTCAGAAAAATTAAAACAAGAATTTCTGGAGAAAAAAAGAAAAGAAAAAAAAGGTTTGTAGGGCCCTATTGTTCAAAATGTTGAAACTGAGAATTTTTGACTTATTTTTTCACTGAAATAAATGTCTTTGTAATTACACAGAGAGTAAAGTACCGAAAAAAGGTACCATTGGGTACCGGCACCGAAATTCAGGTACCGATACCGGTACCATACCGGTTAAAATGTGAACGGTACCCAACCCTACACATGGTGTGGATGAGATGGGATGTGAAATGTTTTCAATGAGAACTGGCCCCAAAAGGATACGCTGAATCAGAAGGTCACCCTATGACTTCTGAGCAACTACTGCCAAAGAGGAACATTTTACAAAATACTCCTGGGAAATAAACTCATCTGCCTTTTCATTTTCAGCATTTTCTACAACAAATTAATATTTAAAAGACACAAGTAACTCTGTGGTGAACAACTAACTTCTTCACGAACATACTGAGAAGTAAAAGCGCCAACCTTTCTGGACAGCCGGGCTGTTCTGGACACTGGTGGCCTTGGAGGAGGGTTTGGACGAGTCTCCATCCGAGTCTTTGCTCATGTCCACTGAAACCACCACATCCTTCACAGCTGAAGAATCATCTTTAGAAACAAAGGGAAAGTTCAGCATTGCTTTGAGATCAAGGCAAATTCAAATTTAGCGTGAACGGGAAGTCCAGTTAATGACCAACAGAAAACGACCTCATTACATGGACAATTTCATCAGGCCAAACACTGCAGGTCCACCACGCATATCCAACTCAGTGTCTTAAAGGCTTTAAAGAGTTAAAGGCAGGGTAGGTGATTTGGGTCAGAAACATTTTTTGTTACGCTGGTTGAAAATCTCTTCACATTCCGATAGCAATCCCTAAATCAAGTGCTCTAAATGTATTTATATGTATTTATATTGTCTGTGGAAGGAGTAGGACCGTAAAATATCTTCGTCCAATCATATCCCTCGGTCCGAACATTACGATAGGCTGCCTGTCAAAATATGTGTTTGCATACATTTGATACGTCATCAGCGTGTTCCAGCGAGAACGAAAGGCCTTATTACTGTGATGATTCTCACTGGTGAACGAGACATGAGCTAATCAACGTCTCGCTGGTCTAGAGAAGGCGTGGCGTTGCAGTGATTACGCAGGGAGGGAGGGGATCTTGCTTTCAAAGCTAGCTTGCTATCACTAGCCTTTCCGAAATCACCTACCCTACCTTTAAAACACTTTGTTCCTATGAGAGGCCATGTAAAGAGTCAATATTCGACTTGTGTAGTTCATCGTTAGCGAACTGTGATTCCACTCTTCACAATAAATCAACAGCACTACGCAGCAGCATTTGTCAAAATATGTTTATTCTTTAAAAGAGACTGGTTAGTGTAGTAGTTAAATGTACAGCACTGTACCTTGGCCTTGAATGTGAGAAATATCGAGTCCCTCTCGCAGTCTGAGAATGACGACACCGTACTGAAAATCAAACGCATCACTACACACACACACACACACACACACACACACAAATAAACAAGTGTTAATGTCTGACAGGATCAAGACCCACACCATTTACTTCAAAGCTGCATAAACATCTACCAGATGTTCTTCAGCTGTACATATACTAGAAATACATCAATGCACCTGAACACGTCATGGGAAAAACTGCACATTTATGAATTAAAATTAATGCCAGAAAACAATACGTGTTAAAAGAAAATGATACATTTAGGCTTGCAACAGCTTGTCACGGAGTGGTCCACAATAGATCATGTACACATCTCTGACAGTACTGCTGCCCCACTGACAAGCTGTTTTACACATACTTTCTGACACTGTTTAGCATCCATTTCTCTCTTCTGTAGCTAAAACAAAAAATTCTGATTAGCTTTTACTCATCTGGAATCTCATGTTACGTAGATGAATAGCAGAAAAACAAACAATCACTTCACTATCACTGTATGAGCATAACAGAAGCTGCTGCCACACTCATTCAATCAGATTTTTATTAATAGCGGATTGTTTTCAAACAGAAGATGAAACCCACTGCATTAGGTTTATGTAGGTCTCAACGTCCTTTATATCTCCAATACGCCAGTCGTTCTTGAAGCCGAGCACCAGAGTGTTGGGCCTCAATCTACCCAGACCAGCAGCCTGTAAATCACACACAGAGGAATTATTTCTATAGGCAAAAAAGCTTTAATACTGAGCTCCTGACAAACCCTAACCTCAACCTTCATAGAGTGTGTTTTTTCCATTTACTAAGTTTATTTAGCCTTTCTGAATTACAGCAACAGTTAGCATGTCCAATAATGCAGAGAAAGGAGGTTTCCTGAGGCCCTATCAGCATGTGCAACACACACGCACACACACACACACGAGAAGTAAATATTTCCAAATGGGTTATAACCAGGGCTTGACATTAACTTTTTTGCTCAGCAGCCACTGTGGCTAGTGGTTTTCCAAAATGACTGGCCACTCAGCATTTTCACTGGCCACAATTTTGTTGTTGGAAATGACATTGTATATAACTAAAGTTACTGCATACTAAAATTGATTTAAATTGATTTCAAGGTCTTTTTTTGCCTATATAAAGGGCAGTTTTTTCTTAACCTTATTAAATGCACGCGTCATCTTTCATATCAAATTCTTACATTTTATTAATAATTTCACTTCATCTAATAAGACACTATAGGGCTGTTACCAATCAAATGAAATCATTATGAACAAAACCGATCTTTCCCCTGCAGAAGAAACAGAAGCGGCTGAAGTGTTTAGATGCATTTACACACACAGTTTAATGAAGCATTCACACTGCAAAAGTACAACAGCATAAATAATGTTACGAGCTTGCGGTTTTAAATCAGTTTTTTAACATACAAATATGAAATGTTGGGGACAAAAATGCAAAAAGCTAAGATACTTTTAAATATGAAAGTAAACCGCCAGTAGATCTTATCAGTGAGTCACTGAGTCATTCATTCAAACGATTCGTTCAGACGGCGGATTCATTTAAGAATGAAGTGAGTGCCTGTCTTTATGAACTACTGAATCATTGACTCAAATTATTTATTCAGAAACGCTGAATCATTCAGTAAGGAAACAGCGCTGTGTGTCGCTCAGAGATGCGCGACTGTTCTGCTGCGATCTTTGTTTGAACTATTTTTGTTAATCAAATCGAGCAAAAACAGTCAAGACTGACAATATTGTACTAAAATGTAAGTCACTTAATATTAACTACTCGTTTAAACTCTTGTATAAAATCAATGTAATCAATGTACATTAAAAATGTACCGTACTACATTTTTACCGCATTATGCTTCTTCTGTGTGCAGTTGTGATCATTTTTTTTTATTTCTCCACGAGATTCTCTCACACACAGACAGACTGCACCATTATCAATCGCTGTTTACAACAAATGTAATAAAATTGTCTCAGAAATTTCAGTGCTTCCCTAGTTAGATGCTTTAATCAGATTAGTTGTCAGGCTAGGCAAGTAAAATTCCCTTTCACTTGCCCCTTCAAAAAATCCACTTGTCCTTGACAAGCATTAATGCCGAGGTCTGTTACTGTATATAAAATTCACCCCGCCAAAGTGGCTTGTGGGAGTGACCGTGTTACCCGCCACAGCATTAGGCTGGTTGGTGGGTGTTAACGTCAAGCCCTGGTTATAACAGAATTCAGCTATGAGCAGATTATGGGCTCACATGTACTAGGCAGAAAGTGAAGAAATCAAAGGATAGAAAAGCCCAATTTTAGGCTGTGCAAAGGGGCATATAGCCAATTTAAAAAAATGTTTTTGTACAGATCGGACATGTGTAGAAGTAAAAACATGTTCAAATCAATCAGTGAGCAAGATCCCATAAACAAGTCTTAAACAAATCTTTTGGGAATAGGGCTATAAACCCCCCCTTCTCACACACACACACCTGCAGCAGGTACTGGGTTCCTTGACGAAGGTCTTCAGCCACCACAGGCGTGTAAAATGCCTTGGAGTTGTTGTTGAGGAGCCACCTTTGGTAGCGCAGCATATCACTGTTTATCTCTTTAAAGTTGGGCCGCCGGGAGCTCTGGGAACGAATACACATGTGGAGAGATCAGCTCATGGTTGAATGACCCGACGGAGGCTTTTCCAGACAATGTACTTGTGACTGGCATGGTCCATACAGACTGGTTTATTCTACACTACTATAATCTCTGTCCCCACAGAGTTTCATTATTCCAAGAACATGTTCCAATGAGAGCTGCATGACCAAACCATTCAACGTTCTACTCGCTCCTAAAACAACACACACACAATGTGCTCTCAGTGTACAGTAGGAACGCAGGACGGATTGTTCAGGTACTCACGATGCGCACATGGCCGCACACCATCAGACCCACGTTCTTGGTGAAGGCATGGACCAGATGAAGAAGAGCTGGACGTGAGTTTGGAGCTCCAGTCATCACCAGACACTGTGGCCTAGAGGAGACATGACACCATCAGAACATCAGACATTGTGGCATCCCATCACATCTGACTTTAACAACTGCAACGTACATGACATCAAGCAAAAGCAGCACACAGTGTGCCACACATCACATTCTCATGACCTCTAGGGTCATCAGTCCAGTCGAGAGCAGAACACAAGCTCTGATTAGAGAGCTTCAAAGCAAAAATGTTAAGAATAAAACAGGATTATGCAGAGGGTGAAGCTTTTGATGGGAAGGTGCTGTCAGAACCAGAAATCTCTGAGCCAGGAGGATCAGGCAGAAACCTCTACTCTCAACATGAGATTCAGTCTGAGCACACACACGAAACTCCTTTATCTGTGTCACAGCAGAAGATCTTACACTGAAGATCAAAGATCCTCACAGTAAATCCACAGCGCTGATAATGGAACAAAACTATTCTGCTTTTTTTTTCTCCTCATTCAATTCCATTCAGAACTGGCTTACGTTTCCACTGGCAGGGAGCAGAACCCTCTACTACATCACCAACCTGTGACCGGAATCGCTTGGTATCTCTTGCAGAAGAACAGCGTTGATCTCTTCTGCTGACCACTGCTGAACTGACTTATTTAATTGTTGTTGTTAATTTACCTGGATTTCGACGGCTTTTAAATATAGACTTGTTCGAGATGCATTGGCGCCATGCAAACCGATCGGTGTGTGACCTCAAAGTACAGCGAGAGTAATTCAAAAGCATAAAGAGTCGTCTGCTCTCCAGTCGCTCTCGCTGTACTTTGATTTCATATGCCGATCAGTCTGCACAGTACCGATGCATCTCGAACAAGCCTAATGACTCCTTTCAAACTGCGGTCTGTAGTGGAAGCTCTGCCTATTGATGTCATAGGTTCCCTTGTTCGAGACCAGCAAGGTTTTGGGGCCGGTTCGGAACCAGAATCTGGGCACCGTCCCAGGAATTTTTTGAGTGGAAAAGCGTGGCCCGGTTCCCAATTGGGCTCCGGCTCCAGCCCCGGTGGAAAAGCGGTAAGATTGAGCAGAGGAATCGTCTGGTTCCCGTGGTCTTGTGCCGATGGTCGTCGAGGTGACAAGGTCTTCACAGGAGATCTGTCTATAGGGCTCATCTAGTTGACATGGTCTCCATTGACATTCAGGGCTGTAGAGGTCATGTCTAGGTGCTAGGGAGCCAGTGCAGAGTTGACAGAACCGGGCTAATATGGTCATACTTCCTGTTTCTAGTAAGAACTCTAGCTGCTGCATTTTGGATCAGCTGGAGTGTGTTTATTAAGTGCACAGAGAAACCACCCAATAAAGCATTACAATAATCTAAACTTGAGGTCATGAACACATGAATTAACGTTTCTGTATTTGACATTGAGAGCATAGGTCGTAATTTAGATATATTTTTAAGATGGAAAAATGCGGTTTCACAAATGCTAGAAACATGTTTTTTTTAAAGCAAAGATTGCTATCAAATAGCACACCTAGGTTCCTAACTGATGACGAAGAATTAACAGAGCAGACATCAAGTGTAAGACAGTGTTTTAAGTTATTACATGCAGAGGTTTTTGGTCCAATAATTAAAACATGTGTTTTTCAGAATTTAGCAGTAAATTACTAGTAGTCCACTTTTTTTTATATCAACTATGCATTCTGCTAGTTTTGCAAACCGGTATGTATCATCGGGCCGCAAAGAAATATAGAGCTGAGTTTCATCAGCATAACAGTAAAAGCTAACACCATGTTTCCTGATGATATCTCCCAAGGGTAACATGTAAAGTGTAAAAAAAGCAACGGTTCTAGTACTGAGCCTTGTGGTACTCCATACTGTACTTGTGATCGATATGATATCTCATCATTCACTGCTACGAATTTATTGACAGTCAGATAATATTTGAACCATGCCAATGCAATTCCACTAATGCCAACGCCTTTTCTAGTATTTTTGACAGAAAAGGGAGATTTGAGATCAGTCTGTAATTATCTAATTCTCTAGGATCAAGTTGTTTTTTTTTTAACGAAAGGCTTAATAACAGCCAGTTTGAAGGTTGTAGGGACATATCCTAATGACATTGATTAAATAATAATATTCAGAAGAGGATCTATGACTTCTGGAAGCACCTTTTTTAGTAGCTTAGATGGAACAGGGTCTAACAAACAGTACATGTTGTTGGTTTAGATGATTTGACAAGGTTATACAATTCTTCCTGTCCTATAGCAGAGAATGAGGGGAATTGTTCCTCGGGGGATCTATAGTGCATATAGATGATGCAATACTGTGGCTGACGACTGCATGGTTAGAATTTTATCTCTAATAGAATCGATCTTGGAACTAGGGATGGGCGATATCGACTTTAGGTGTTATTTATTTATTTGCTACATAAAACATCTGCGCGAAACAAAAACAGCAGGTCTGAATGAGATGCACTCTCTGACAGCAGGTCTATGAACAGGTTTTCGCAATAAAACTAGTCCAATCGCGTTTCGAAGGGGTTTCCCTGTAAAAATCGCATACTATGTTATGAAGTTAATATGGAGAAAAAGCATGTCAATAAATTAAAATATCTTTGTTGGACAACAGGTTTGTAAACGACTCATACACATGTAAAACTGTGTCGCACATGTGCTACTGTAGTACATTTACTCAAGGCTCAGACCGATTTTTGTCGCACTGCACAGCCCTATCCAAACCTGTTCCAGATTGTATTAGGAGCTGCTCAATTTCACGTCCGCCTTCCTTCACGTCACTCCACACAGTCGCACACAGAAATATGTCAACAACTAGACTTTATCGTTATTATCGCGGGAAGACGAATTCTTATCATGTGGAGAATTTTTACCGGTATATCGCAAACGATAAGATATCACCCATCCCTACTTGGAATTAAAGAAGTTCATAAAGTCATTACTGCTGTTGATGCTTTATTTTTCGTTAATTTAGCCACTGTATTGAATAAATGACTGGGGTAGTGTTTGTTCTCTTCTAAGAGAGACAAAATGAAGTAGATCTATCAGTTTTTAAAGCTTTTCTATAAGTAAAAGTACTTTCCCTCCATGCAATAAGGAATACCTCTAGTTCTGTTTTCTTCCAGCTGCGCTCCATTTTCCGGGCTGTTTAGAATGTCTATAAATGCTGATCTCAATGTATATTTTTCATTATCAACATGCATATAAAAATCACCAACAATTAAGACTTTACCTGCAGCCAGAACTAACTCAGATAGAAAATCAGCAAATTCGTGGATAAAGTCTGTATGGTGCCCTGGTGGCCTGTATACAGTAGCCAGTACAAACATCACAGGGGATTTATCATTAACACTTGTTTCTCTGGGTAATGTTATATGAATCACCATTACTTCAAACCATATCTCTAAGAAATACTGAAAATATTACTATAAATTGTAGCAACACCTCCCCCTTTACCTTTTGGACGTGGCTCATGTTTATAACAGTAATCTTAGGGGGTAGACTCATTTAAAATAATGTAATCATCAGGTTTTAGCCAGGTTTCTGTCAAACAGAGCACATCTAAGTTATGATCTGTGATCATATCATTTACAAAAAGTACTTTTGTAGAAAGGGATCTAATATTCATTAAGCAAAGCTTTATTTATTTATTTTTTTAATCTGCATTATATCTGTTTTTTATTTGTTGAACAATTAAATTGTTACTCTTGAATTGTTTTGGACGTTTTTTGTATTTTCTAGTTCGGGGAACAGACACAGTCTCTATTAGTGTTGTCAAAAGACAGCCGTTACCGGGGAAACCTCCATCTCTCCCGCTCTACAAGCGCCTCCTGCTGGCAGAGAATGAATTTGCATATATATGCCGCCACAAATAGAGTGCAAGTCTGTGGGGAAACTCCGCTTCTGTTATGGATATTATTTAATATTTTAATTTGAATGTCAGATTGAATTGTCATCCAATTGTCTATGAAACCTATGTTATTTTGCGGGCACCACTTCCAGCCATTGAGTGACGACAGTCTGCTATGTATCTCGTCACCACAGTAAGCAGGGAGGGGACCAGAGCATATTACAGCATCTGACATCGTGCTTGCAAGTTCACACACCTCTTTAATATTATTTTTAGTGATCTCCGACTGGCGACGTCGAACATCATTAGCACCAGCGTGAATAATAATCTTACTGAATTTACGTTTAGCATTAGCCACCTTACACACCAGAGGCTTTTAAATGAATTGTGAATCTAAAATATGCGTGTTAGAGAATGTACAAATGGTTAACATTGTTGGTGTCATATCAGTCAGAAAAGCAGTTCTGGGCTTTTTTTATTTATTTATTTTTAGCTAACTTAAGTTAGTTGTTATTCTTTGCTGAATAACTCTAGAAGGTTTTCAAAAGCCCTTTAAAATTAAATATGTACACAGTTTGGATTAAACGAAAGTATAGTCAAATTTTTTAACTAGCATGTTTTGCTTTGGTACCGAGAACCGTGGATTTTCACTGGTATTGTTACCGAATACTGAAATTTTGGTACCGTGACAACACTAG